TCCTCGAAGCAATGCCTTGCAAAAGAACTTGTCACCATTTTTTTCGGCGCAGTGTCTGAGGCATTGTTCTGGCATTACCAAAAGGCCATGGGCTTCACATGTTGACTCTGCATTGGATCACGGGATATGATACGCGTGGTACCTGGTTATACCTGCAGCTTCATCTTTGTGATCGAGCTTTTTGGAAAAAAAATTCCCCTGAAGGCCTCAGCATTTTGCAAGGTGTCAGCCTTATTTTCAGCTTGAGGCTTAAAAAGTTGCGGTAAAACAAGGCTGGACTCCTAGGATGCTGCTGAGTTCCGCTCTGGCGGCAACGGTGATGTGCCAAGAACCGGTGAGCCTCTGGTTATGACTAACAGAGCCATGGTTAAAACCACCATTTTTAATGGGAAAATCCACTATAAATATCTATTTCTATGGCCATTTTCAATAGCTAACTCTTGACATAACCAGAGGGTACATTATCCAAGAAATTTGCGGCCGCGGCTTCTGAACATTGGTCCTTCATGCACCACTGGATCTGCGTCGGAAAAATCTTCGTCCACTGGATCCCCGATGTTTTTTGCTTCGAAGTTTGAGTGGAACCTGGAGTCTGAGCTCTGATCGGTTTCGTGTTTCGATATGTTTCAACATGTCTCAATAGTTTTCAATAAACAGGACCTGCATCTTGCCCGGGATACCCGGGATATATCTCTGCGCCGTTGAAGACCTTCATACCGCTGCAAGCTGTCTTCGAAAATCAGTGGTGTGGTGACATGTTAGAACCATAGTCCAGTGCTCCAGGTTCTACATGCTTCACATGTTTCTGCTTGTGCCAAATGGTTTCGGACATTTTGATTTCTCTGGACTAGTCAATTTTGTTCCGAAGTGGCATTTCTGGCCGTTCATCTGCTTCTGGACCAACACCAGACTTGCACATCAAGTTGAAGGAGAATCTTGGCAGCATATTTGATACCACATGTGAAAAATAAACAGATCACATCGCTTACATTAAGAGAAAACCATATTCCAGTCCTCTTGAGACATGTTCCGTTTCAAACCATTTCGGTCGCAGATACCGCGAGTCATGAATTTCTTCAACAAGTCTTGTCACACCCCAGCAAAAGCCTGTCGCTGGTGGTCACAATCCTGTAGATATGTGCAGGGTCTTGGCGGGCAATTTTCCAATTGAGCGGCAAACATCACCACATTTTCGCGGATTTCCAAGGTGGGCTAAGACGCAAATTGGCAGGCACTTGCACACGCGCAAGCATAGAGGCATCATTTTAGGGGCCTCTTTCAGGATTCACGTCCCAATCAGCTCGAGAGCTGCAGTTTCAACATGGTTCAACTTCACACCTTCTATCAAACAGTCCTACCAAACATATCAAACATATCAACATTTCTAATATCTAGATAGATAGATAGATAGATAGTTAGATAGATAGATAGATAGATAGATAAAAAGATAGATAGATAGATAGATAGATAGACAGTGGATAGATGGATAGATGGATAGATGGATAGATGGATAGATGGATAGATGGATAGATGGATAGAGGGATAGAGGGATAGAGGGATAGAGGGATAGAGGGATAGGGGGATAGATGGATAGATGGATACATACGTATACGTATACATATCCATATGCATATCCATATCCATTAATAAGCATATCCATATGCATACACATCCACATCCACATGTGCATGTACATGTTGATGTACCTATGTGTATAGTTGTGTCAGCACATGTACATGTATGTGTATATACCCATATATGTGTATATGGATATGTGTATGTAAACACATGTGATGTATATATATACATATATATATATATAATATGATATTTCTATGTACGTAAAATTGTGTATATGAAGACGCATACTGCAGGTGGACATCTTTTACAGCAACAAAAACAAACTCAGTCGCTATGACATGTTCCACACTCAGAGCTGCCCCAGGTTACTGGTCAAATTTGTACATCTGGACCAATATCAAGGACCTCAGTTGCACGGTGCGGTGACGTGACTGGTGCGTTTTTTTCCGGCTCAAGCAGTGTTTTAGCTCCCAACCTGGGGTTGGAAAGCCCAATAATCCCACCTGAGCACAGTCTCATTTTTAGACTGATGAAAAGCCAAAAAAAAACGGCACAAAATTATGTACTTTATGTCACTTTAGTTCTGTTCTTTGAAATGAATGATACTTGAGAGGGGGAACACGAAAGGTAGGTGATCAAGAAGGGGAACCAAAGCCTCTGCGTGTAAAAATTGGCTGTGTGTAAAAGTGCGCTGTGTGCACAAGCGTCTGTGTAAAAGTGCGCTGTGTGCAATTGTTTTTCTGTGTAAAGGCATCTGTGTGTAAAAGCGTCTGTGTAAAAACTGCTGTGCACGGAAACTTCTGTGCGTAAAGGTTTCTGTGCGGAAAACAAGAATTGTGTAAAAGCTGCTCTTGGAAAAGTTTCTGCGTGTAAAAGTTTAGGTGTGTAAAAACTTCTTTGTGCAGTCTGTGTTGACAAGTTTTTTCTGTGTCAATGTTTTCCTGTGTAAAAGTTTCTTTGTGTAAAAGTTGTTCTGTGCAAAGGTTTCTCCGTGTAAAAGGTTCTGTGTTTAAAAGAGCTTGTGTGCCTTTATTTATGCGTGCAAAAGCATCTTTGTGCAAAGCATCGGTGCTTAAAAACTTCTGTGTGTAATTTGCGTAAAAGCCTCTGTTTGTAAAGGCGTCTGCGTGCAGAAGTTTATCTGTGCACAAACCTCTCTGCGTAAGAGTGCGCATAAAAGCTGCTCTGTGTACAGGTTTCTGTGCGTAAACGTCGTCTGTTTGTAGAAGCGTACCGGTGCAAAATGGTCACCACAGCCAAATCCCAAACAATGAAACAAAAGAATCCAAACTCTGTTTGCTGCCGTTACGTTGTTGATGGCGGTGATCCGCACGGGGCACAAGGCATCATTTTGGCTGTGTTAAGCCAAGTTTTTAAAAGCCTTCGGGACAAAAAACGCCGCAAATGTCCATGTTTTTGGCGCCTCACAGGCCAAAAACCACGGTACTGTTATTGTTACTGCTACTGTTACTGCTACTGTTACTGTTACTGTTGTTGTTGTTGTTGTTGATGTTGTTGTTGTTGTTGTTGCTGCTGGTGGTGGTGGTGGTGGTCTGTGTGACTGTGTGACTGTGTGACTGTGTGACTGTGTGACTGTGTGACTGTGTGACTGTGTTACTGTGTTACTGTGTTACTGTGTTACTGTGTTACTGTGTTACTGTGTTACTGTTACCCCTGCTTTTTTTCTCAGTCTTGCAGTGGCCGAAAATCGTCAAATAGTGTGTTCGCATTTGTTTAAGACTCTCGGAGCAAAAAAAACACCCTAATTAAATACCGATTTTTGTTGCGCCTTGGCAGCCCAAAAGCACGGTATTTACGATGTGTTTTGCTTCTGGTCGGAAAAACCACGGTATTTACAGTGTTTTTTGGACAGCACCGAGCAAAAACAGTGGTATTTGCGCAGTTTTAGAAGTGATTGTTCCATGCAAAAATCACAAAACCCATGTAAATATATATATATATTATATATATATAGAGAGAGAGAGAGTCTTTGGGGTCTGATTTTTGTGTTAGGGTGTGTGTGTGTGTGTTTTGGGGTGGAGGATTTTGGGGGGTGCCTCAGGATCTTGGCGTCGATGCGGTGAAAAATGTAGGCGGTGTCCTGATCTCTGGTGATTTTTCATACCCTCTGGTAAACTAACATAGCTATTGAAAATGGTGATTTACCCATTAAAAATAGTGATTTTCCATAGCTATGTTAGTTTACCAGAGGGTAAAGGGAACATCATGGACTAATCATGACTAATCACCATCATTTTATATGTTACATATTTATATACATGAAAATATACATTTATTGGACACGTGTTTTTGAACAACATCGGAGCATCAATGGTTCATTGCATTGTGCTTGGTCACCTATGGTGGTTGCTCAAAAAAGGCGCCATCAGCAGCCTTGCTGAATTTGATATGGAACCAATAGGAAATGGTGATAGGAAAAACCTCGAGAATCTTCGAGACCTACTTTTTCGGGGACTTCCCATTTTCCCCATTTTCAGGGTACCATGGTACCATGGCCACCGATGGCAGCCAGTCCGTCCCAGAGTCCTCCACCACTGGATTGGGGGTAAAAACCTCCACCAGGATGTCATAGAGAACGGCCATCTGAAAGCGAAGTTAAGCTGAGAACGGCGCTTTCAAAAAAAAAAACAGGGGATGATTCAGGAAAACATAGGAGGTTGGGCAACAATCTGGCACTCGAACCAACAAACTAAAACGAGCAACTACATGAATATAATAATATAATATGAGATAAGATCATATAATATAAAATTTAAAAATATTAAAAAAATAAAATAATATGATATGTATGATATGTATGATATGTATGATATGTATATATATATATATGTATGGTTCCCTTAAGCGACTTTCTTGCTGGGAAGTATCTGAATGGAAATCAACTCAGCACGAGTTGATGCTATGAGTTTCCTGGTGTTTTTTGTGGGGCAACTGCTTTCGCAAGACTCACGGCCATAACCTGAGAAAGGACGCCTAAAGAAGTCCTTCATGGTCGATGGCTAGTTACTCAGTTACTGGTTAGACGTCTGGTTGGACAACCCGAAATAAACCCTAAACCATGTAGTTGCATGTAGTTGCTGAACAGTATTTGTGGAACCAGTGGTGTTAACTTCTCAATACAACAGAAACAAGTTTCTGAATCCGACATAGTTTCTGAATATGACCTCCGGTTTTGGAATATGACGTTCAGTTTCTGAAGATTTCTGAAGCGTCGTTTCTGAAAACAGTGGAGTATCCCTCCAGGACACGACAAAAAAAATTCAGCAGAGCGGAGCGGAGCATTTTCTCCGTCAGTTGGGCTGAAGCTGGGCTGAAGCATAGCTGGATGAAGCAAGGGCCACTTCACACAGAAAAGTGAAGCCTTGGCATTTTTGGGATGTCCCAAAAGCCCATCGGCATCATTTTCGGCAGTTCTTGATGCGCTTTCTGAGGTGACCTCGAAGCCTGTCTTGCAACTGGTGAACTTCACTTCCAGTCGCGGCCGAAGTAACCGCCGAAAGGACCTCGTGGTGATCAAATGTCAAATGACTCAACTGGGATCAGGGCGGGAATTACGGCAAAAATACAACAAAACATCGGAAGATTTTGGATTCCAAAACCTTCAGCGATTTTTGGAACCAGGAGTTTTCGGTGATTTTTGGTCAAGTCTTCGATGCACTTGGGTCTCAGCCCGATGCGTTAGCTTTTTGGGACCCCGGGGCTTTGTCGACCCTTGCGAGTTTCACCAAGAAACCGCGGAGTATGCGAAGAAATCGGACGGTAGTGCAGCTGCTCCCATATCTTGAAACAGCATCAAAGCCAGCTGCCACTCAAGGCCTTTGCCACATGCACTGATGGTGGCATTGTAACCTGGGTGATCGGAGGAAAAATTAGGTGGCAAGTGGAGCTTCAAACTTCTGAAACTATATAAAGCTACACATATATATATATATATTATAGGAGGATGAGGGGGGTGAAGGCGTGCACATTATAGAAACGCGCATGTCTTGCACGGTCTGCTTAAAATCATCCTGTCTGCTGATCTGCTTCCATTCCTGGAGCTTGGATCTATCCCAAACTCTCATACAAACAATCCAAATTCTGAAAGAGGAAAAACCTGCTCCAAAACCATGGAAAAACCACAAAAAAAGTTCAGAGCCATGTCCTGGCCAGCTTCTTCTCAGACCCTCTCTATGGGTCGAAACGGTTTTCTTGTTTTCTTGAGGTTTTTGCCACTTTGTCAGTCCAACAATGTCAGTTGCTCATTTTTTTGTGCTTTTTGTTCCTGTTTCTTGGGTTCCTGGGAGAAAGTTTCACCCTGACAAGCATCCATTGGCATAGCTTTCACTCCTCCACATTTTATATTGGTGTCTTCATTGAGTTACTGTGGCTACTGAGCCATCAGAGAAAATGTACAGTAAAAACAGCTCTATCACCCACCTCTTTAGGTACTCCATTGGACTGATGTTTGATTGGTATGCCGAGGTTTTGGTTCCTCACCTTTAAAGGTTTGGCTCGTGTTCTTCAAACCTGGAATCACTGAAAGTGATATCTAACGAAAACTATATTTTTCAAAAATGGATTGTTTAAGCAACACTTTGTTGTACAAAAAATATGTTTGTCTCAAAGTGTCTGCTCCTTCGAAAAGGCAATATTGTATCCCTCAAGACAAGATTCCTCTAAAGAAGGATGTTGTTTTCCTTTGGAAGAAGCAGATACTATTTTGTAGAATGCCACATTATTCTTCTTGGCAACTCTTGCATGCCACAGCATTTCTTGAAGAAATGATGGCATTCCTTTGAACAAACATGTTCATTTTAAAGGTTCAATTTTTCATTGTACAATGTAATAGGTTGAAAGAAACAACATTCTTGTAGTCATGCATTGTATCTTGAAAAACACTAGTCTAAGATGTACTAGTTTTTCAAACAAAATGTATGGTTGAAATATATCACAATATGTTCAAAGCGAATCCTTCCTCCTCCCACTAGTCAGACATCACTCCCATAAAAATGAACACTATTCCATTCAAGGATGCAATACCCCTAGCAGGAAGTGTACAGCCTATAGCTGAAGAATACAACCAATTTTTGTTCAATACAGCCTACAACCCATTATATCCTTTTGAAAGGGGCAGCAATTGTGCAGAGCATGCAATAAATCGTTCAAACATGTGCTTGCATTTTTTACATTTTCACAAAGGTACAGTACACAATTCACGGCAGAAAGCAGGGTTGTTTTCGAGATGCATGATCTTCCAGATCTTCTCAAAAAAAAAACTTGTTCAAGATACAGCACTATTTTCAGGAAGTGCATCTCTAAAGTTTCAGTTGCGCTTTCGTACGCAAAATGTATTGTTTCCCTGCAAGTGTGTTACTTTTTTTCAACAAGGCAGCGCTTTTAAGGCAAAATATAGATGATGCCTGGAAAAGGTCTAGATTCAATCGTAGTTAAACTATCTTTTTGAAGAAGTGCATGTTCAATCTGGACAGGTTCTTTTGTGAAAAGCACTCATGAACAGCATGAAAGGATGCATGTCTGTTCAATATCATATATATATATGTATATGTATATGTATATGTATATGTATATGTATATCGAGAAACATAAACTATTGTGAAAAAATCAAAAAAAAATATCAATGATGCGTGTATATATATATATTATATACACAACAATATAAAGCAGAATTCATTGCAGGCATCAAAATCATTGATGAAAGCACATTTCTTGTAAGATTACATTATGTTTTGAAATATTTTGTTTGACCATCTCATAACCACACCAACTCATGCATAATGATGCAAAACCTTGTAAATCAGACCTTTCACCACTCCACCCCCATGGTAAGCCGCTCTCTCTCTCTCTCTCTATATGTATATATATATATATATATGTGTAATGTGTATAGATATATATATATATTGTGCTAAATATTGTAAGTAACACCTTGTCTCACGATTCCGCGATCCAAGAGGCTGATGAGATCAGGGGCAATCTCCTGAGATGGCTCGGTAATGGGGGAGGTCATTTTGGATGCTACGCCAATGGAGCCATGGAGACTGGAATCCTGATATATCCTGATGTGCCGATCCAAAGCTCGAATTGTCTGCGGATGTTTAATGTGTAGAAAACACCGCTGTCAAACACGTTTGTTTACCTTCTGGTTTTAGCCCAAGCCAACATGGTAATCTTTCAGATTAATCTCAACTATCCCAACCAGGTATCACCCGCGCATCCAAGCGTCTATCTGTGGCATCTTCTCAAATAGTTTCAGAGCAATCTGACTTTGATTGCCACGCTCACAAGCAGTGATGGACGAATTGAAGCCTGGGGGAAAATCTTGGGAATCGAGATGTGCCGCCCTCATCTTAGATGCCCCATTAGAAGTTGATTTTCATGAAATGCCGCGTCTTCTATTCCACTCAACACGCCAACAAGAATGATGTTTATTGATTTATCAACCTACCAAATCCATCCAAATCCAAGGTTTACCCAAAAACAAACTCCGCTGCAGTCCATTTGTTCCAGTGGCTGATGACATTGGGAAAGATCTTCCGCTGCTGCATCGAATCCAACAGGTCTAAGGCAATGCACCAGGTCGCAGCCTTTTCGCATGCAGTGATAGTGCTGGTAAAACTGATAACGTCTGGACGTGGACCCGACTCCCACATCGAGTCTAACAACCTGAGGGCCAAAGGCCATAAACCCGCCTTGGCACAAGCACTGATGATTGCATTGTAAGTGAAAATGTCTGGATCAATGTCAGCCTGGGGCATGGCATCGAAGATTTCCAGGGCTCGTTGCCATTGCTCACCCTTTTCACAGCCGCTGATGGTTGCATTGTAGGTGATCACGTCTGGAAAAATGTCATTTTGCGGCATGGCCTCCAGAAAATACAACGCCAGCTGCCAATGAGCTCCCTTCTCACAGGAGCTTATAGTTGCATTGTAAGTGATGATGTTGGGTTGAATACTCCTCTGGGACATAGATGAAAAGACCAGCAACCCAAGTTGCCATCGCGTGCCTTTCTGTAAAGAGCCGATAGTTGCACTGTAAGTGGCACTGTCTGGTTTAATTCCTCCTTCCGGCATCCGCTGAAACGCTTCCAAGGCCATCTGCCACTGCTCTGCCTTTTCACACGCTCTGATGGCAGCATTGAAACTCATGACATCAGACTTCAGTGAAGGTGAAGTTGCCATCAAAGCCAGCAAGCCCAGAGCTTGTTGCCATTGACCGGCTTTTTCGCAGCTGCTGATAGTTGTGTTGCAGCAGGTCGCATCTGGTTGAACTTTCCTCTGCCTCATCGAATGCAACAATTCCAACGCCAATTGCCAGCATTCGCCCGACTCGCATGAGCTGATGGCTGAGGTGTAGCTCACGACATTCGGGACAATTCTTGAGGCAAGCATAGACTCAAAATACCACAGAGCCAAAGTCCATAGTCTGCCAGTTTCACTGGAAGAAATGGCCACGCTGTAGCTATACACATCTGGTTGGAGTTGATCAAGTGGCATCTTCTCGAAGATGTCTAAGGCCTTTGGCCAATGAGAGCCCTTTTGATGTGCACTCATTGCTGCATTATAGCTAATCATGCTGGGCTGAACGCTGGCTCTCCGCATAGAAGCCAACATATCCATACAACGCCACCACATGGAACACGCCTGAAATCCACTGATCGCTCCATTGAAGCTTCTGACGTCGGGGTATATTGAAGAAGTTGCCATGGCCTCAAGCAGGGAAGCCGTGATTTCCCACAATCCTGTTTTGGCACAAGCACTGATGATTGCATTGTAAGTGAAAACGTCTGGATCAATGTCAGCCTGGGGCATGGCATCGAAGATTTCCAGGGCTCGTTGCCATTGCTCACCCTTTTCACAGCCGCTGATGGTTGCATTGTAGGTGATCACGTCTGGAAAAATGTCATTTTGCGGCATGGCCTCCAGAAAATACAACGCCAGCTGCCAATGAGCTCCCTTCTCACAGGAGCTTATAGTTGCATTGTAAGTGATGATGTTGGGTTGAATACTCCTCTGGGACATAGATGAAAAGACCAGCAACCCAAGTTGCCATCGAGTGCTTTTCTGCAAAGAGCTGATAGTTGTATTGCAGCTAACAGTATCTGGTTTGATTCCTCCTTCCGGCATCCGCTGAAACGCTTCCAAGGCCATCTGCCACTGCTCTGCCCTTGCTAACGCACCGATGAGTGCATTCAAGCTAAAGGTGTTGTGCTGTACTCTGCCCTTCTGCAGCAGCTGAAAAAACTGCAAAGCGCTCTGCCAGTGCTTCCCTTTTCCAAAGGATGTTAGATAGGCTGTCACTTGATGAAGCTGACCACCCTCAGAGAGGACTTGAAATCTGTGAAATCTGGAGAAGGGACACTTTGGCAAAACTTGTAGTGACTAATCAACACATGATTTTGGAATATGTTGGATCACTTTGAGGTGAATGCAACAACTGTATCTAGAATATCATCTCCTGAAAATTGTCTGTTGCACCACTGTCGGTTTCAAACAAAACAAGGAACCTCCATGACATCGCGCAGGAGCGTGACATTTTCTTCACCAATTTCGTTCCTTGGCGGAAAAAGGCTGCTGTTGGCTGTTGCCAAAGATCACTGCATCCGCCCATATCCGCCCACCGTTCTTGGAAAGTGGGATATCTCTGGGAGCAATGTTTTTTCGAAACCTTTCTGGTGACCATATCTCTTGGCCCCCCATCTTCGGTGGTTCATGTTTAATCCTGATGTCTGCCGAATGGATTCAAATAAACGAAGTGAGCTGTGTTCAAAACCCGAAATGTCGTTTAGGTTTGTTGATAGGGATTCGCATAAAGGACAATGATAGACAATATAGTAATATAGATAATGTAGTAATATAAATGATGTAGATAATATAATCTCAGAACTCATCATCCAACAGGGCTGTCGAACGCAGCCACTCAAGTTGAACTTTGGAATCTTTGGATCCCAGTTTCAAAAGAGGCACGGGGAGTCTGCCACCCAGCCATTCCCTCGGCTCAGTCTTGTTTGGTGTCTTCCTGAGCTCGGAGATTGCAGCTGAGGTCCTGAATCATGGCTTGAATTTGGGTTGTATCAGTGGTCGAAACATGAACATAAAATAAAGCTACCATTTGGGGACGATGTTTGACCGTTTGTGGTTTTATGGTAATATTGGGGACAAATTGGGGATGGTTCATTATTGGCTCTCATCAAAGTACATCCCTGTCTACCCATCCATTTCACCCAAGTAGGACTGTTTGATTCTCTCAGAGTTAGTTTTGGGACAGGAAATTCTGAAGAATTCAAGCCCCCTGCTGGCGAACAAGTTGCAGAGCGTTCCATACAGTAGATACAGTACATATGACATGCACACCTATCGCACCGCATATGCATGTTATGTTATGTCATATCACGTTATGTACGTTATCTGTTATCTTGTGATGCCGTGTGGTGTCGCGTGGTGTGGCGTGGCGTGGCGTGGTGTGTGATCTTCGCTGAGGCTAGTGTAGGTTCGGTGAGGCCATTTCTGTATGTCGGTGTGTACTGACATATACGTGTATAGCTTTATGATTCTCTATGTATCTACATGTACAATATGATGCTACGTTGTTCGCCCGACTCGTGGTGAACAAACTTGTGGGGGTTCACATGAATGCTCACCATCACCGTTGGAGCCATGTCAGCACGACACACCTTCCCGGCGATCTCCACTTGGACATCTTCCAGGACCCAATACCAGCGCAATGACTAGATGCACTTGGGAGTATCTTGGTCTTGAACACGGTATTCTAAAACACAATTACATGTGTTTTTAAGTAAAACTGGAGAAAAAAAAAACGTTGCCATGGGTTAGTATTTCAATTGCCATTTCTCCCACATTTTCGCTTGCTATATAGTTGTTGGTCAAAACATTGTTGTTGCTGCTGAATAACCACTTAATATGTTGATTAAATTGCTTTTTGTCGATTAATCAAATCGTGTGATATTTTCCGTGTTTGGTCGCTTGGTCCTTTGAAATCACAATTTTTGCCGGTTAAATCACATTTTTTGCTGTATAGAGTTTCCCATGTTTTCTTGCTTGTGATCAACCCTTGTGCAAGACGAGCCATAGAATAATACACCTATCACATCCTAGTGTGCGGCTTGGTATAAATATCCCCAATGAACCCATTACAATTAGGATTATGCCATTCTCCCAATACCTTTATCCCAGTATCACTTGGTATTTCATACAGTTGGAGAGTTTAGGATTACAATTGGTAGATTACTGGTATAGATTACTGGTCGTTTTTTCCCCCAATGACTACAGCTTCAGCACTGCCGAGCCGCAGTCGGAGCTTCCGCAGACTTCGAAGCTGCAGACTGCGCTGCATCACCAAGGTCCAGGGCTCAGCTTGAGCAGGGCTCTCAAGCAGGGCTTGAGCCGCTTGATGCTTAAGTGTCTGGAAATGGGTATACCATGGTACACCAGAAAAAAAAAAATGGCAAAATCTGGGAAAAGAATGAGAAAAATATTGATTTACTTCAAACGCAATACATGAAACGTGGCACTTGTTTTCGCTCCACAATTGACGCAATCAACCCTTTGATGATGTTGAGACATCTTTAGACCACCTAGTTCTGGAACCACTCAGACATGTTCAGCCAAATTTGGTGTTCATCATTTTAAGTCACTGCCATGAATCCATGGCACAAAATGTGGGGAATAAAATTCATCTGGGTCAGTTTCTGGTTTCAGTTCACTGTTTTTTTTGCCGTTGGCAACATCCAATCATCCAATCAGCCTAGACAGGTCAGAGGGGCGACAACATTTGCCTAAGAGAACTGAGCTTCCGCTCTCAGAATGCTGGAAGTATCCAGCCATTTTGGATGCGATCACGAGGAAAATCAAATAAAATCAATCATTCAAACATCAAAACATATCAAAACATATCAAAACATATCAAAACTGTTTCCCACCCGTTTCCCACCCGAGATTTTGTCGCCGATTTTTCAGTAACGCCTCCTCTTGAACCGCCAGGATGAGGCTTCGGTGAGATGTCGGACATTTTGGAGCTGCTGAAATGGTCGTGGATCTGTGGATTCACTGAAGGCCTTTTCAAAGAGCTTCATGACACCAGTTCCAAAGTTTTCAAAGCCCCATTCCTTCGATTCCTTCGATTCCAAACTGTCGCTGGGAGCTTCAAAATCTTCCAGTCGCAGAGCAGAATGAGAACCACCAGCTCGCCATGAGACGCTCACGGAGACCTCCGGCCGATGTGCAGTTTCAAGGGAGTCGACCAAGGCGTGGTAACCTCGGCCCACCATGACTTTTGGGAGGACCATCAATCGAAATTGGATCAATGGATTGGTTTAAGGGAAAATCTACAGGAAACCATGCTTTTTGCCATCAAATATAGGGGTTTCCTGTAAATTTTCCCATCATCCAATTCTATGATTGGATGAATGATGATTGTCTCGTAATATTACCATATATTACCTCCGGTGTCATCAAACATGGCTGGAAGATCCCCGAAGTAAATGGATGGAGGTTTAGTTTCGCTCTCGCATAACCATCAAACTAAATGGATCTAAATGGGGGAATTTCCAGCCACGTTTGATGACACCAGAGGGTATATCATGAAGTCAGAACAGAGGGCCAGCATGTCTGGGGAAATACAAGGAACCAAATGATGGAAAACAATGACACACAATTAGATGATTTTCTTGGGCGAGCAAAATAGAAGATGATTTTTTATGGCCAGGTTGGATTCAGGAGTGCTTTCACATAAACTCCTCAAAGTTCCCTTCAAAGGTTCACAAACCACGGACATTTCCAGTCACCATTTACGAATCGCTGGCCGTGAAATCCGAAATCCTCTTGGATCCCAACGCAGATCATGCTGATTGGCACTTCCAATCAGTTTTTTTTGTGCAAAAAAAGTAACCTTCCTTTTCAGAGGATTGCGATCTCAGGAACCTGGAAGATCTAGGCGTAGATCGTGTAGCATCGACAGCTGCAGTGCCAATTGCCACTGCTTGGACTTTTGAAGCGAACTCAAGACTGAATTGTAGGTCAAGCTGTCCTAATGGAAGGGTCACTGCTAAAAAGGCATGGAGGAGGGACCGTGGAAAATGAGAGATGCCGATTTGAAGCCGAGAGGCCTCCAAACATTTCAATTGGATCAACGGCAATTCTTCCAACCTCAAAAAGAAGTGTGGATATTCATATACATATATATATATACGTATTACGTGTATATATATATACGTATATATATATATATATATACACATTAAAAGTATATATACATATGAATATGACATCATATGACCCTATGTTTGAAACAACTGCGGTTCCCCCTACACACTTGGTCTCCCGTTACGGAACCAGGTCCGGGTTCGTTTCCCGAGCATCTGGTGTCCAGTGGTTCTGCACGAGCTCCAGTAGAGTCGCAGCCAAGGACCATTGAGCCCCAGCTGCCATGGCGCTGATGGTCGAATTGAAGACCACCAGATTTGGAGAGAACTGCCCTGCCACCTGACATCTGAGATCAATCTGAGATCAATCTGAGATCAATCTGAGGTCAATCGAACTTGGGTCCATGTTTGTTCCTGTAACAAAAATCAGCAGAGTTCAAGATCTGAAGAGATACCTGAGATACCTGAGTCCAAACCTCTCCAAAATCCACGTTGCAAAGTTTTTTTCTTTATCAAGCGCCTGGTTCCAAGACACCAAGATCAACCAAGTACCAGGTTGTAACAACTGGCCCCCGTCCTGCCTCAGAAAACTGCTGTAGAGCCCATTCCCACTGTGCAGACTTTTCGAAGGAACTAATAAGGCTGGTGTGACTTGCTAAAGTGCTTGACATGGAAAGTGCTCGCATTTCCTCCAGCAAACGCAAGGCATGTTGCCACTTGCCGGCTTTTTGCAGGGCATTCATGGTGGCATTGTACAAAATCGCATCCAACTGGCCATCCCGGATCTCCACGGCATCCCTCAACAGCTGAAGCGCCTGAAGCCATTGCGCCCCCTTGGCGCAACAGCCGATGCACGCGGTGAAGCTCACGATGTCGTGAAGATCGTGATCCGAGGTCGAAAAGAGCTCCAAGGCCATGACCCACCTGGGCAAGATGCCCATGGCGGGTTGATGAATGTTGGAATAACATTCGAATACAGCATTATCAGCATTATAAAAACATTGTCATATACCATTGGTATAAGTATAACATGGAATAACATGGAATAACATGGAATAACATGGAATAACATGGAATAACATGGAATAACATGGAATAACATGGAATAACATGGAATAACATGGAATAACATGGAATAACATGGAATAACATGGACATGGAACATGGACATGGAACATGGACATGGAACAACATGGAACAACATGGAACAACATGGAACAACATGGAACAACATGGAACAACATGGAACAACATGGAACAACATGGAACAACATGGAACAACATGGAACAACATGGAACAACATGGAACAACATGGAACAACATGGAACAACATGGAACAACATGGAATAACATGGAATAACATGGAATAACATGGAATAACATGGAATAACATGGAATAACATGGAATAACATGGAATAACATGGAATAACATGGAATAACATGGAATAACATGGAATAACATGGAACAACATGGAACAACATGGAACAACATGGAACAACATGGAACAACATGGAACAACATGGAACAACATGGAACAACATGGAACAACAACATGGAACAACATGGAACAACATGGAACAACATGGAACAACATGGAACAACATGGAACAACATGGAACAACATGGAACAACATGGAAAAACATGGAACAACATGGAACAACATGGAACAACATGGAACAACATGGAACAACATGGAACAACATGGAACAACATGGAACAACATGGAACAACATGGAACAACATGGAACAACATGGAACAACATGGAACAACATGGAACAACATGGAACAACATGGAACATGGAACAACATGGAACAACATGGAACAACATGGAACAACATGGAACAACATGGAACAACATGGAACAACATGGAATAACATGGAATAACATGGAATAACATGGAATAACATGGAATAACATGGAATAACATGGAATAACATGGAATAACATGGAATAACATGGAATAACATGGAATAACATGGAATAACATGGAATAACATGAAATAGCTGGTGGGCTGTGTGGCTGTGTGTTGCAAAGCCCGAAGTGGGCCCTCATCCGCAGGGCAATGAAAACGTCAGCAAAAAACATGGAGCACCAACCACTTACATCATCGAGCACCACATGGTGTTTCGCATTTTCTCAGAAATGGATAGAAATAGGTCGATTGCGTTTTCTCATTTGGAAACTGGCCTGCCAAATGCTTCACTTGAACTCATTGCGGTGCTGAAACTGATGGAATCTGGTCTCACTTTCAGAAGGGGCATGGTGTGCAGCAGCCACACAGCCCACTGCCATTGTCCAACTTTTTCGCAGGAACTGAGAGTGATGTTGTAGCTAACCACGTCAGGCGCTGGTCCATGCAACTGCATTACTTCCAAGACTTTCAGAGATGACTCCCATGCTGCAGCCTTCTGACATGCAGACATGACTGCATTGTAGTGATACAAATTTGGACTCGGAAAAAGCCTTGTTTCAGGCATCCATTGCATCCATTGAAAAAGTCGAGAACAGGCTTGCTCCCATTGTTTCAATCTGGCATCTGCCATCAGTATCTTGGTGACTTCTTGTGGTTTCAATTCTTCCGGCCGCAGGCGCAGGCGCCCCACCCATGGCACCCATGGCACCCATGGCCGGCGGCAAAAGAGGCCCTGCATCTCGGGTGAACAAATTGCTAACGGTTTGGTGAAATTCGACCAGGAATTGGGACAAACATGACGAAAATCATGACGAACATCCCAAAATGCACAAAACAGCTGCTCCACTGCACCCTGCACCGCAGATTTTCCTCCCTGACAGTTCCTCAGCGGTTTCAATTTGAAAAAATATGGGATTTTGGGAGCCAGCATAAACCAAGCTCCCCCACCATTGCGAGGCGAGAATGTTGCAGCTCTGCCTGAAATTGCAGGACCCCAACAGCAGGTCACTTCAAAAAAGTGAATCAACTCTGACCGAAAAACTTGGCAACGGAAACCTCCAATCAATGGATTGGTTTAAGGGAAAATTTACAGGAAAGCCCCATATTTAATGGGAAAATCTATGGTTTCCGGTTTAGATTTTCCCTTAAACCAATCCATTGATCCAATGTTCAATGGAAACTCAGGGGAAAATGTGCCATCCTCGGGTACCTTCATGGTGCCCCGAAAAGATGATTTCTCTACGGCTCAACTGAAAATGTTCACCCCGAAAATGGGCAAAAAAAAATGTCCTTCCAAAGGCTGATGTTAATCAAAGCGTTTCTTCATTTGAAATCTCATGGAATTTAGAGCATCACATCCTATTCTAAAGCTAAAACAGACATAAATATAAACATATATATATGTGTGTATGTATATATGTATATACAGATACGTATATATATATACACATATATATATACTGTATACATATATACATAATATAGATATATATATATATAATGTTGTATTGATCATGAAAGCACCAAGAAGAAACATGGTGCCATCTCTGAGCGATCGCTGAGAAAACTCCTGCCTCGGGCATCCAAGGCCTGGCTCACTGCCGCTGAAATGTGAAGATTACCATCTGGTTATTTAACATAGCCATGGAAAATCCCTTATAAATGGAGGTCTTAATGGGAAAATCATCTATAAATGGGCCGTTTTCCATGGCTATGTTAAATAACCAGATGGTAAATGATAACTAATAGATTGCCATTATAATATACCAACTGTTATCATTTATAATTTATTAATATTTAATATACCAACTATTGACATTAATAATATACCATAATTAATAGCTAATTATCATTTATACCAACTATTGCAATATACCAACTATGATACTTATCTAAGAAGTTATCTAATTTTGATACCATTATATCTATGATAGTTATGATAGATTATGATAGATATTAATTGGTGATTATCATGATAGTTGATTTCTATAGTTGATATCATTAAATATCATTAAATATTATGATAGTTGATAACTATGGTTAAATAATGAGAATTATCTTAGCTAATGATTGGATAATGTGATCAATATTATTGATTGCCCATTATCAACTATTATTAACTATAGTTGATAATTATCTACCATCATTTCTATGGTAGCTATAACAGATAATATTTGATAAAGTAGATATCACTAATCAATTATAAATAAGTATCAGCTATATCGTTATATCATAGTTATATCGAATGATATCTATGATTAATCTCATATAAATCTTTATGTTATATCAAATGATTAATGATCTGAGATATCTTCGATATCTATGATATGAACGTAATCATACAAAGAATACAATATTTTGATGCACATTAAGATCCGTGATATCAGTTATCGTTTATTAGTAGTTGAAGCAGATCTTGAACCCATGATATTGGGATGTTGATTGGAAGGTAGCCTGAAGGGTGTCATCAAACATGCCTAGCTGGGAAATCCCCCCATTTTTATGGAGGCTTAGTTCGCTGGGAAGATCATCGAACTGCAAAATTGCCATGTTTGATTACTAGAGGTCAATGAAAAGACTATGACACTGAATCTCAGTTTGGTCTGGGTCAAAATTCCGCACTTCCGACATTTCATAGTAGATACTAAAACTGGTCAAAACGTGTGGTCCCCTCGGCATGAAAGTGTGCTTAAAATAGGTGTCATCCCCAAGTCACCATGGGTGTCACATTTCTACAATGCTTTGTTATCTTGGGCACTGCCATTTTGGGAAACCAACAAATGTCATATGGGGTTTCCCATGATGACTAGGGAATACCCAATAGCTGGATGGTTTGTAATAGAAAATCCCATTATAATGATTAACTCATTACATATATCACCATTATGATCATTAAGCCATGATTTCATTCACTCCTTAACCATTATCAACTACGATACCCTCTGGTAATTTAACATAGCTATTGAAAATGGACCATTTACAGATGATTTTCCCAATAAAACCTCCATAAAAATAATGGATTTTCCAGTTCGCTATGTAACAAATTGCCAGAGGGTAATCTTCACATTTCCTTCCCTATGTTGCCACTGTCATCCCAGGATATCCCAAACTATCACGCCTGTTCTCCGGCAGGAAGGAGGACAAGACTGGCGGCCGAAAACCTCATCAAAAAGCAGCGCTATACGCTCTGCAAAACCAGGGAAATCCCCATGGAAAAAGACAAAAAACATCCTCAAGTTTGTCCGAGTTTGATGTTTAATGAGTTAATCATCATTTTTAAATGTTCATCCGCACCCTTAAATTAGACTTCATATATCGTTTAATATCCTGTGATCGTGATGGTTGGCCATGTTGGGGGTTATAAATCCACTACATCCACCATGAGTGGTCACTTGAGTCACTTGAGTCACTTGGTTGGCTCAGGTCAGAGGAGAAACATGGAAGTTTTCCAACTCGAAAAATGCAGCATTTTGGAGTGACTTCCAAAACACACGACGTGTCATTTGAACATCAAAATGACAAATGCTCCTGAAATGGTCACCAAAGCTGAGGGTGGGGTTAGGTCTTTTCTATGACAAACTTCAACTGATAGCTGTCAAACAAACAATGATAAACATTGATAAATCAAAATCCAAAATAACCATGAAAAAACAGACTATATCGGACTATGTATATATAAATGCAGAACCAGCCCGCAAAAGTTCAAAAGGGGTCTGAACCGCCCTCCTGAAAGCTGTTCGTGGATAGTCCTCAATCCATTCCTTCGCTGAGATTTTCCGGTTTGCAGGAAGCAAATCCCCCTTGATCAGACAAACTGTTGAATTTATATGAAATCATCACAGAAAGTTGAGTCATTCACTAAGAACCCAATCCCTAACTTCACATCTCGCCGAAACTGCATCACAAAGTATCAACATTGGAGTATCAAGAACTTGGAGTCATGAAGAACTCTGAAGAACTGAAGAAATGCTGGTCCAGCTATGTCGTGCGCAGCAGATGTCATCAACGTTGATCACCGCATCACAGCGGGACGGCTCGACCTGAGCAGCAAACTCTTCAAGTTCAGCGGGTCGAAGCCGGCTTCTCCAGGGGCTTCTTGCCCACTTTTGAACCTGGCCGGAGCTCCGGGCACCATCATGATCCGTCAGGATTTTTGCACAGCCAAGATGATAATCATTTAATCCAATCAGCCTCAAGATATGTTCCGAATCTCAGGCCACCCGATTCGCCGCCTTCTCTAGTTGAGTACGGAAACCTGTGAGATTTGCAACAAGAAACATTGGATACATGCCCATCTATCATCTATCTCTGACCACCGTCAATTCTTGTTGGTTGATGTTGGTTGTATTCCCATCTTCATGAGTCTTCATGGTGTAGTGTACTAAAATGTCCTAAAGAAATCGACTTGACATTCATTGATGATCGATGTCTATGTACCCTCTGGTAATTTAACATAACTATGGAAAATCACCATTTTTCATGGGAAAACTCACTATTTCTATGGCCATGTTCAATAGCTATGTTAAATTACCAGAGGGTAATCCAATCAGCCTCAAGATATGTTCCGAATCTCAGGCCACCCGATTCGCCGCCTTCTCTAGTTGAGTACGGAAACCTGTGAGATTTGCAACAAGAACCATTGGATACATGCCCATCTATCATCTATCTCTGACCACCGTCAATTCTTGTTGGTTGATGTTGGTTGTATTCCCATCTTCATGAGTCTTCATGGTGTAGTGTACTAAAATGTCCTAAAGAAATCGACTTGACATTCATTGATGATCGATGTCTATGTACCCTCTGGTAATTTAACATAACTATGGAAAATCACTATTTTTCATGGGAAAACTCACTATAAATAGCCATTTTCAATAGCTATTTTGACATAACCAGAGGGTAGGCCTTGCCATCCACCATGGATCTTCGTTCGGGTCAACGCTGCACATGTCGGCTGTGCAGCTCAAAGGAACCGCCCACCAAGAGAACCACGGCAGCAAAAATCTCGACAAACCTGAGATTTTTTGCCCCGTTTTTTAGTGGGGAGACTGCAGTGATTCAATGGGATTTTATAGTGATTTAATGGGATTTTATAGTGATTCAATGGGATATTCATGGGATATACCCTCTGGTAAACTAACATAGCTATGGAAAATGGCCATAGAAATAGTGAGTTTTCCCATTGAACATGGTGATTGTCCATAGCTATGTTAAATTACCAGAGGGTAATTCTATACATAGATATTGCCTTTGATGTTGATATTGATGATATTGATGATATTGATACTGATATTGATAGTAGATACTACCACTGATATTGAAATTGACATAATATTGGGGACATTAGGAACACGCTTTGGGTATGGGATGGGTATTTTCACCCTGACCTGGAGATTCACGCCACACAAAAAACATCGGTGATGCTATGAAAATCTGCATGTTCAATAGGTAAATCATCATAAACCATCTATAAATTGTACATGTTCCTTAGATATGTTAAATCATCAGAGGATATATATATATATGTGTGTGTGTGTTGATATATATATATATACACGTATACATATAGAGGGAGAAGGAGTCAGGGGAGTTATACCTACTGTATGTTGCCTGCCACATGTGCATACCGCCGATCATCTCCAACATTCCCCAACCATCAACCATTCATTTGCCGCTTGGTTTTGCAGCTGTTGGCATCAAGTCATGCCCTTGGCCGAGACCACCCAACAGCGTGGGAAGTTTCAGCAAAAACGACAGCTCATTTCGGGCTTCCGAGCCCTGCTTGTTTTAAGCTGGACTCAGGGCCGACAGTGGACTCACTGGTTCAAACGAAGGCAGCCCATATAAAAATCTGTGCTGCGAGCATTGCAGTGACGGCTCCTCACTGCAAACAAACCCAGAAATCCGCAAACACAAATAAACACAAAATTGGACCCCCAGAAACGCTGATTTACCAAAGGCTGGTAATTACATTCAACATCATTCAACCCTCTACAAAACGTGAGAGTTAGTCTTGAGGTCTCTTCACAAGCAAATTGGAGTGGATACCATCTAGCTCAAAAAAACCTTGGAAAATCCGCACCTTTGTAGAGAACCGGGAAATGTATATATATATATATTACAGTATATACATATATATATATATATACGGGTTTGAATAATGTATTCTCATGTATTCTCCGCTGCTTGGAACCCCAAAGGATACATTGCGAAAGGCGTTGAAGAACTCTCATCAAGGAGCAGCTCCCTCGACACCCTGCGCCTGATGATGGCAACTCAGGCATTGCAGTGGTGCTACTTGTGTCACCTGCCGAAAAACTGAAACAATGAGGGATCGCAAGTTCGGCGCTCAAAAAGGAGCAGCCGCCAGGATATATGTATATGTATGTGTATATGTAGATGTAGATGTAGATGTGTATGTGTATGTGTAAAGTAATATATTCATTCATCGCAATCTATAACGAATTGTATTCTTCGAGCCACTGCTGCACCTCAGTGCTGCCTAACGACTTTGAGTAAAGATATGTTTCAAGATCTGCTAAATTTCCCAATGACATGTCGACATGTTTCATCCAAGCATCCACTGCCAGTGCTCCCTGAGCTCCCAGAGCTCCCCGAGCTCCCAGAATCGGTGTTTCCAGAGGTTCCACTGGGCATTTCACAGCCGGCAACGCAGACTTCATAGCGTGCCAGCGATGGGTTTTCCGTTTTGGCCGCGTCAGTGCCTACCTTGGTGATGGGCTTTCCATCTGGATCCACCTGGCGAATCCTAAGGAATCCCCTCATATCAAAACAGTTGGATTTTTTGTTGGTAGATATGGAATAATGAGATATAGTATGGTAGATAGTTAGTAGATTTGGAAAATATAGTTGGTAGATATAGTTGGATATAGTATAGTTCATCCCCCTAAATATGCAAATAAATCAAAATAATTCAAATAATGTGTAGATATGTGTAGTACATCTAGGTCACTAGGTTTTGACCCATCCCCTCTTGGGCCATGCAATCTTGACACCACACCACCCTTCTTATCCGAGAGACGTAAGCCACGATCTTGCCATCCTTCACTATCACGTCATCTGCAAAGGGCAGTTGAAAATTAAAAGCCAAAGTAGTAACTGGCCGGATGACTTGTCCATCCATGTCAATGACCATGAACTCAGTCCTGGCACTGGAGATACTGGGGATACTGGAGCTCGGGGATTCCCCGCTGGACTGTGATAACCAAATATAAGCAATGGGGTAGTATTACTTATAACATTTCTTTAATCATCAATTCACCGGCTTTTTTAACACTGCGAAACATTGAAGTCTAGTCTACACTGCACCGACTTGGGGTCCAGCGAAACCTGTGTCTCAAGACATTGTGTACCTGCTTGTACTCTGCAGTACCCCAACACCGTTATCCTAAAACCAAAGGGCACCCCCAAAACTGTGGCGGTCCTGTTGTAGGAGCTACCAGACCAGATTTCCCAGAGTAGCACAATGTTATCATTCAGGACTGCGGTCTTCAATCTGGACACGCTCTGCGACAAATCCTCTCAGGCAACATCCGTCAATCACCCAAAATATGTGGTTCTGTGGTGCATTGGTGAAGGAGCCAGCACGAAATCCACATGGTGTAAACAGGTACACATGTACATACATATCTCACATATCATGTAATGTCTATCAAGCGTTACAAGCGAGACCAAAAAAATGTCACAAGCAAACCCCCCACCTTACCTGCCCTGATCTACCAGTTCGGCAGATCGCACTCTCTTTCATATTTATACTTTCAACCCATCCCAAAAGCATCACTCGATACGTACCTTGTCGCCATTAGGATCATCAGGGGCCAGGGGAAAATTTAAAGACGCTTTGAACCTCCCAACAAAGTATATGGCTGTGTCTGGAAATGGTGATTTAATACAATATTTAATGATCATAAAATCAAGGTTACTACTTGGGGCTGTACCCAATTTTGAGGCACTCCCATATACTACTGACGATCATTGTTTTCGAATGTTGAATTCCCTTCGCTGCCACAGTGCTCAAAGAGATCGACGAAACTGTGAAGGCTGAAAGGTCTCCCCTATCGTTTCCTTCGGAGACACGCCACTCTACAGAATAATTAATCATTCAATCGTGAACCAACATGAATCTTGGATAAATACAGGATTAATAATTCACCAACCTGAAGAGTTCGTCTCCATCCTACCAAACAATTTCCAGTGACATCGCGACGGTCACAACGGTATTTATCCAAATGAATTGGGGATCCAGTCATATCCAGGTCTTGATTGCCACATGCCATGTAGCCCCTCCTGATAAGCTGTGAGGAAACTGATCCCGCGATTGATTTGCTCCGACCATCTTCCGCCGAAGGTATAAAACCCCCCCCGCTCTTCCTGCGCTACGCCGGGTAACAACTTTGGAAGAGCAGTGGCTAAAACTAAAACGTCCATGAACACATACTGATACTGAATGGTTTTTTGAATGGGAATCCCAGCTCATTTGACTCATGGATATTCATGGATTATGATCTCCAAGATTTTTTCAGGGTACATAACCTCCCAATGATAAAAAGAAACAGATTTCAGCGCATCTCTCCTGGCCAGGTGATAAAACGGAGCTGTTGCTGAAGTCCCTGTAGATCTTCACCCAAGCAACCTCGCCATGCTGGGTGAATGGTTGGAACACGGGGTATGTGTTGGTTGCACAGTTTCTTCGGCTATCTCTTGCAGGAATCCAAAGGAACCTCAAAGGAATCTACGGTGCAGTGAACATGTCTGTACGCGTTCGAAATGGATATAGATAGGCAAATACATAGGTACACATGCATATTTATGTCTGTCATGGTCTGATTACTTTTCAGGCGTGTATTCACAATATCCTGCCTAGAATGAGTATCTGCCCTGCAGACTAGATTCATGAGGGTTGAAATTGGTTGCTTCCCTCAGAAAAAGTTGTTCAAAGCTGATGGATTTGCTGCTTGGACCAACACAGCACAGAGCTGATCGTGTATCCAATGGTTCCAATGGTTCCAAGCTCTAATGAACTTTGCGATGGCACTAACCGAAACTAGGCCACGCGTTCAGTTTATCCCTCGCACGCCATTATTGAAAATGTATACAATCATACTGATTATGTATCCATATCCATATCCATATACATATACATATATACACATATACACATATATACACATATACACATATACACATATACATATATACATACATATGTATATATATATATACATATATACATATATACATATATACATATATACATATATACATATATACATATATACATATATACATATATACATATTTTCATATATACATATATACATATATACATTTATATATAATGATATATATACATATGTATATATATATACATATATACATACACATATATATATATAATTATATATATATATATTCGTATATACACATATACACATATACATGCACATACACATGCACATACTCATACACATACCTACAGCCTCCGGAAACAACTTTTTTTGGGTTGCCAGGAAAAAAAAATAAAAAAAAAAGTTTTTTTGTCAGCAAGGCACACGGTTACGGGAAACTACGGGTCAATTACGGACACATTACGGCTAGAATAGAAATTTGGAAAACCAGGCTTTTCTAAAACTAGCCGGTATCTTCTTAAAATCTTCCAAAAAAAGCAAAGTTTTGATTTCAACCCAAAAAAGTGGGCTAAGGTCGCCATAGGTACACATACACGTACACACATACATATATGCAGATATCACATTTCATCAGCATGATCATTCAACTGACTAAATCACAAAATATATAGTAATATAATATTTTTACCCTCTGGTACTTTAACATAGCTATTGAAAATGCAATTTATAGTGGATTTTCCCATTAAAAATGGTGATTTTCCATTGCTATGTTAGTTTACCAGAGGGTATACACATGCAAAATATTGCAAAATCCCACAATAAATTCTTCGGCCTCCCGGATGCGAATTTCCGAGCTGTTGCCTCAGCTGGCTGTCCGAGCCACATTTCGCGGGACGTTCATGACCGTCCCCACCAAGCTGTTGTCCAAGGGTGGAGACTCCGTCGCAAAGAAGACCAACAAGGCATCATTGACTTCGTGGAGACCCGGATGGGCCAACTCAGTGTAGACGTAGTTGTCATTGCTCCACTGGTAGAACCTCAGCAAAGAAATGCAAAACGGATGCAAAACAGGTGCCAACCACCCAAATTATGCGCTGAATTTGGAACCAAATCTAGAGGGCATACGGTCATCACGGAATGTGGTCCCGCTCAGGTATGGGTATACTGCAATTGTATGCAATCGTAAACATGGGATCAACTTCTAGGAAGGATTTTCTTCACCAGTGGGCTAAGTTGCTTTGACCTTCCCCTCCAGCTTGTTTTTTGGGGACAAGTGCCCTGCGGATCGCGTCCCAGCTGCGTTTGATCACTTCCGGAGATCTCTTCGTAGATGGGATAAGACGTTCCTGCAGGGCTCTCTGGAGTCCGACCATGCTTGGTCTTGAAGGTGTAGACCAACTTCTTTTTCCAGAGGCGATAGTCTCCCCTCAGTTCCTTGAGTCGGAATAGTGGCAAGATTGCGGCTATGAGAATATGGGGATCTGCCCTTCAGGATTTGATACGCAGGATTTGTGAATGCCCACGGTGGGCTCTGCCTTTAGCTATGATGATGATAATGAACATCATCGTCGTAGTCCTCATCGTCCTTGTGGTGTTCGTTGTCGCTGTGTTTGTTTCCGTTGTGGTCGTTGTCGTCGTTGCCGTCGCCGTCATTGTTGTCATCATTGCTGTGATCAATACGATGATGATGGTGACATACGGCGATATTGGGACGGTTATAAGCTATGATTGATCAAAAATTATGGGGATATCATGGGGACATAACATTGGGATTCAGGAAATTTCCATGGAAAATATGAACAGCCAGGATTCCCATACGTTGACACCACGCGGGTAGTTGTCGCCCAGGTCCATTCCAAGATACCAGCCCTCCTGGCACCGCACATGTTTCCAGGAATGCGGTATATCTATATATTGCTTTCCCAGCCAAAACAGACCATGCCAGAGTTTGTGTAAAGATTTTTGGGAAAACTAAAAATCCTATGGTTAGAAAAACACCGTTTTCAAAAAGACCCTTGTGGGCCCGAAGTTCTGAAAAAAAATCGGACCCACATCCAGTCAGTTGATCATGCTTCAACCTTTTGGACCTTTTATCAATCTTTTGCAATGGCAAACATCGGTCCTTCTTCGAAACTTTCAGAGAATTGCCGAATGAATGGCCGGAGGTTTGACCGTAATTGGTGATCATCTCCTTAGGAGACAAAGTTCCCGACCCATCTGCAGACACAAACCAACCGGAAAAAAAAATACCATTTGGGGATT